CAGCCCCCCCATCGGCAGGTACCTGGTGCTGTACGGGCCGTCGCGGGACATGTCCTTCGGCGCGCCCCGCCCCTTTGCGCGTCGGGAGACGTGCACGGCGGACGTTGCTTTGGCGATTTCCCGAGTTTGTGGGCCGCTGCCCTGGCCCCGGGACTGTCAGCCAGGGGCTCTGCATGCATGGGGACCCACAGACAGCGCGGTGGCCACAGCGTGTGGTGAGCCGGTGGGGATTTCGGGGTGGCGTCACGGTTTGGGGGTTTAGGGGTTTGGGTCGTTCTCCGAGGGCCCCCCCCAGACAGCGCGGTGGCCACAGCGTGTGGTGAGCCGGTGGGGATTCCGGGGTGGCGTCACGTTTCGGGAGTTTGGGGGTTTGGGTCGCTCTCCGAGGACCCCCCCCAGACAGCGCGGTGGCCACAGCGTGTGGTGAGCCGGTGGGGATTTCGGGGTGGCGTCACGCTTTGGGGGTTTGGGGGTTTGGGTCGCTCTCCGAGGGCCCCCCCCCAGACAGCGCCGTGGCCACAGCGTGTGTTGAGCCGGTGGGGATTTCGGGGTGGCGTCACGGTTTGGGGGTTTGGGGTTTGGGTCGCTCTCCGAGGGCCCCCCAGACAGCGCGGTTAGCCACAGCGTGTGGTGAGCGGTGGGATTTCGTGGTGGCGTCACGGTTTTGGGACTGGGGGGGTTTGGTCGTTCTCCGAGGGCCCCCCAGACAGCGCCCTGGCCACAGCGTGTGTTGAGCCGGTGGGGATTTCGGGGTGGCGTCACGGTTTGGGGGTTTGGGGGTTTGGGTCGCTCTCCGAGGGCCCCCCTAGACAGCGCGGTGGCCACAGCGTGTGGTGATCCGGTGGGGATTTCGGGGTGGCGTCACGGTTTGGGGGTTTAGGGGTTTGGGTCGTTCTCCGAGGGCCCCCCCCAGACAGCGCGGTGGCCACAGCGTGTGGTGAGCCGTGGGGATTTTCGGGGTGGCGTCACGGTTTGTGGTTTTAAGGGTTTGGGGTCGTTCACGCGGGGGCCCCCCATACAGCGCGGTGGCCACAGCGAGGTGGTGAGCCGGTGGGGATTTCGGGGTGGCGTCACGGTTTGGGGGTTTAGGGGTTTGGGTCGTTCTACGAGGGCCCCCCCCAGACAGCGCCGTGGCCACAGCGTGTGGTGAGCCGGTGGGGATTTCGGGGCGGCGCTACGGTTTGGGGGTTTGGGGGTTTGGGTCGTTCTCCGAGGGCCCCCCAGACAGCGCGGTGGCCACAGCGTGTGGTGAGCCGGTGGGGATTTCGGGGT